GCCGCCCGGTGCCGGCGCTGCCGCGTCCCCGGCGGGCGCCATTTGCAGCCCCGGGCGCGGACACAAAGGGGCTGCGCGGGGCGGGCGGCGGCGAGAGGGGGCGGCGGGAGCGGCGGAGGCGCTGCCGGCGGAGATGAGAGGGGGCGGCGGGACGGGAGCGGCACCGGCCGGGCTAACCACGGGCGCCCGGCACCGGGCGGGGACACGGGGGGCTCCGGCGGAGCGGCAGCCGCGGCTCCGTTCCGCGGGCGGCACGGCCGGCCCGGGGCGCTCCGTGCGGGCGGAGCGGAGCGCGCAGCCGGCCGGGGCAGGCGGGCGCGGCGGTCCCGCGGTGGGAGCGGGGCCGGGCGGCGCCTCCGCGCCGGCGGAGCGGCTCCGGCGCCGTCGGGCGTCCCGGACTGCCGCGGAGCGAGCGGCCAATTCGGCCGGGCGGGCGATGAGTGACGGCGGCCGCGGCCAATGCCGGGGCCCGGGCCGGGACGGTGGCGAGCCCGGGGCGCTGCCGCCGCATTCGAGCGGTCCCGAGGCGCCGGGGCGGAGGCTGTGCCCACCGCCGACCCGCGTCAGCCGCGGCTCTGCCCACGGCGGGAGGGCCAAGTTCTCCTACAGAGTCTGAGAACCATCATAGCTTGGTCGACAGAATTTTCCTTCTTTTGGGATACGGAATAATCCCGCTGGGACAGCTTTTCACTTCTTTTGAGTTGTTAAGTTTCTTCTCTCTTGTTATGCAGAGTAGCGGCCGCAGGGAGATTGGAGATGCATTGGGAATGTGATAGCGCTTTTTTAAACGACGCTCATCTCTTTAAGTTAGGATTCAGCATCATTGATTCTGATCATATTTGATTGATATGATGTTTTTTCCTTTACAGCAAACCTTCCTCTTACTCCCTGCCTGGAATGGAGATTTCTTCCCACCAGTCTCACCTCCTGGAGCAGCTGAACGAGCAGCGGAAGCAGGACTTGTTCTGTGACTGCAACATCCTGGTGGAGGGCAAGGTCTTCAAAGCCCATCGCAATGTGCTGTTTGCCAGCAGCGGCTACTTCAAAATGCTCCTTTCGCAGAGCTCGAAGGAGACAGGTCAGCCAACCATAGCCACGTTTGAGGTCTTCTCTCCAGAGACGTTCATGGTCATCCTGGACTTTGTGTATTCAGGGATATTGTCTTTAACGGGTCAGAATGTGATCGAAGTCATGTCAGCTGCCAGTTATCTGCAGATGACAGATATCCTCAATGTCTGCAAGACCTTCATTAAGTCCTCACTGGATATTAATGAAAAGGAAAAGGATCACTACCTCAGCCTCTCGGCCAAAAGTGCGAGCACTGACCCTACCCCCGCCCGCCCGGCTCTTTATCGCTCCAGAAGGAAAGCGAAGAGCAACCCCCGGCGTTCCTGCTCGATCCCAGACGAAAAACCCAACGGGAATGAAAACTCCTGGAGCAGTTACAGCAGCTACCTGTCCTCACAGGTGATCCTGCAGCGGGCAGAGACCCAGCTGTCCAAAAGAGGCAGGAAACAGGGCTCCGTGAGGAAGCGCCGCAAGCACCTGGGGCTGTCGCAGAGCCGGGAGCTGGGAGGGTGCAAATCGGACAGAGCGGAGCGAGCTGGAGCCTCGGATCCCGCTCACATCTCCCACGGGGGAGAGGAGGCTGAGTTTGATGCTGAGAACGACGTGGATCGGGATGATTTTGGATATCATCCCGGAGCAGAGGCCGCAGCCAAGAAGTGGTCGGTTGCTCAGCTAGAACAAGAACTTTCCACAACTCCTGAGTTCATGGAGTTAAAGGCAGAAGAACTGTACACCTCAATGCCCACAATTTTAGGGGTAATGAGTAGCTGGAATGAAGGTAAACAATAGAAACTGCTTGGAAAAATTTGGTTTTCTCTGGGAGAATTCAGGTGGTGATTTGGATGGAATTTGTACAGCTTCATGGAAACCAAAAACCTATCTGGAATGATAGGTGATTTTATCTGCTTGATTTTAGTGCTAACACTAAGATTTTCAAGCCAGAACAGGGCATGGGAATTGAAATGGGCCTGACCAAGGTATTCTGTAAATTTCAACCCAAACATGCCTGATTATTTGGGCCCAAGTGGAGTTTAATGAACGCTTAAGGGCTGTAATTGATCTGGGGACCTGAAGGACTGAATTTCTACAATATCTGGCAATAACAGAGGTGTTCAACCTCAACCCAATCCAAGTCCTTCACATGAGAAGTCCTGGCATTGCTGGGATGTTGCATTTTGGGGTCCAACCAGCCCAAACTTCTGACATCACCTGCCCGAGGGTGGAACAAAGCTGACACGTTTATTCCCATGTGCATTCCTTTGGAAATGAACATATCTGTAGATCATAACTGTGTATTCTAAAGACATCTTTATACATCACACAGAGATTATAAATGTCAAAGCTATGAACCATTAGCTGGTGGAAGAGTCAGATATGATGGCTATGTATAAATAGCTGCATATTTATGATAACCTTTATATCTAAAAAATGTTGTCAGGAAGAAAACACTATCAAGTGGTCAATTAACATGTTAAATGAGAAGAAAAATGCAAGCTGGGGGATGTACATAAATATATATTTAACAAATCTATATCCTCCTTATTTATAAAACTATCTTTTAAAACTTAGTTTTAGTTCAATTTCTTTCTCAACAATATCTGTCTTATTCTCTAACGTTTCTAAATCAGCATTATCTCAAAGTTTACATATAAATACATATTTTGTAAACCTATCAAACTTTGAAAATTTTCTATATACTTTCAATTTTCTATATTTTCAAAATTTTTAAATTATATTTTAAAATTTTCTGTTTTCACATCCTCCAAAGCGTCTATTTTATGTATCATTATGTACTATATATAATACAATGCATACTTATACAAGCATCCAAATATCCTAAATATTGGGGGTATTTTCTTATTTAAAGAAAACTCGATCTGTCAGGTATTTTAAACTGAGAAGTGATGAAAAGTACAGCGAGAAAGCTCTGCTGTGTGCCCTGTCCCTGCCAGGTGACCTGCCCCGGATGCGTTTCAAGTGCCCGTTCTGCACGCACACGGTGAAGCGGCGGGCGGACCTGAAGCGCCACCTGCGGTGTCACACCGGGGAGCGGCCCTACCCCTGCGAGGCCTGCGGGAAGAGGTTCACCCGCCTGGAGCACCTCCGCAACCACTTCCAAACGGTAGGAAAACACAGCTGCCTTTAGAAGATTTGGGTTGTGGTTCAGCAAAAGCTCAGAGCTCCTGCTCCTTGTGGAAGTGTGAATTAATTCGCTGGTGGTAGTTGTGTAGGCGTCGCCAAACTCGGCACCGGGAAAGCAGCGCATCGGCTTGAATTGTTCGTTATTTAACATAACAAATTGTGTTTAAAATGTAATTTTTTAGCACGATTCAGCACATTTTCTGTTAGCACAATGGTGAGAATTGACATAGACTCCATGCATTTACAGAATTCTCATAATTATCTTTATTAAGAAACCCATGCTTTTATACCCTAGTTTGCTACAGGTGGACCTAATTGGTCCTTTAATTAAAACACCATCACCATTGGCTAATGAAGAAACCTAACACATTCCACATGTTCACACCACCAGGTGCAGCAAGTTAAGAATTGTTTCTCATTCTTTTCTCTTGAGCTTCTTACAGCTTCTCCCACAACAACACCTGGGAAAGCTGCCTGCTGCTCTCTGTGACCAGAGAGCTGCTGTGATAATTTTAATGGTTTAAAAAAAAAAAAGAAAGGATGAAGGGTGAATTTGTAAATTTTAAATCCTTTCAGATACACCAAGCTGGCAAACTGATCTGCAGGAAGTGCAAGCGCCACGTCACGGAGCTGACGGGCTGCGTGGTGCAGCAAGGGACGCGGCGCTACAGACTGTGCCACAAGTGCTTGGCAGAAGCCAATTTCGACAGCATCCCCGAGGATTTCAATCCAGCTGAACATTCTCCTGTCTCCTCCACGGGAAACAAACGCCCCAGATGGGCTCTGGAGGAGGAGCAGAAATCAGATGAAGAGACAGTGGAGGAGGAGCCCTATAATTTGGTTGTCCGACACAATAACGAAGATATTCCGGATGAGGTAAAGGAAAAGGTGAAGCCGAATCTTAGGTAGATCTTTGTGTATTTGTTGTTGTTGTGTTCAAGATTAAATGACTCGTGTCCTACCAACTAATGCTTTTAATAAAATGAAGTATTGCTAAAGTTCTGTTCTGAGAAGGAAAATTTGGACCAAAAACAAGTTGTTTTGCAGACATGGAACAGTGTAATTGCTTCTAAATGTCATCCAGAATGTACTGAGCATCATAAAATAGCCTGAGTTGAAAGGGACCCACAAGGAACATCAAGTCCAGCTGCTCACTTATTGTCTGGAAACTGTTTAGGAGAATTGATTTGTTTCATCAAAGCTCAGAGCTCCTGCTCTTCATGGAAGTGTGAACCAGTTTACAGTTCTACAAAGGTTCTGTACGATTCAGATTTTTTAAAGACCAAATATTGCCAATTTGCTTGGATAAACTCTTACTAGGTGAGCAGCTTAGAAATTTTAAACCGCCTTTTTTTTTTTTTTTTTTTTATTTTTTTTTTTTTTTTTGCTGATATTGTAATTAATTTGTACATAACACATCAGAAACTTCCTAAGAAAGGAGCGAGGGAAACAAGTGGAGTTCTTCCTGTTGAAGAACCTTTTTAACAGAGCTTTGTTTTTTCAGTGAACTTTACAGCTTCTTATAGTTGAGAAAAGCATGATTTAGGAACTCCCACAGCCAGAGTAGAGTAGGTGACCAGGGCATCTGTAGTGCACTTGGATAGTATGAATTTGCCTTTTTTTCTTTTTTTTTTTTTTTTTTTGTACTGTGAATTTTATAGAAAGATACACCAACGTGGTTCCAAGGAAATAAAAAGTGCAATCACTGGAAGTCCAGTTGTCAGGTTTTTTTCCATTTTTTTTCCCCAGGATTGATGCAAGATTTGCTTAGACCCATCTAACTTACTCTAGGAATAAAGAGGCCAACGTCCCTTGAATTTCAGTGGGACATTTGTGATCAGAGCTTAAGATTGTGGAGCTACTTTAGAAAGGCTCTCCTGCTCATATAACTTTAGGGTGCTTGACAGCATAAAACCATTTTTTATAGCACAATTTCCCTCAGAGGTTAAGTAGCTCTTGTAGTTCTGGAGCCTCTTAAGCTTTTTTAGTTGTATTTATTTCCCCAGTCACTTGAATCGGAGTACCTGCACTTGGTAGAGAAACTAAAAATGCTCACTACTGAATTATTAAAAAAGAAAAGCTGAAGGAGTGCACAAAGAAATCTTCTGCCTGAGAGCAGAGAATGGCATTCCCAGTGGGCACTCCTGATTAAGAGCCACTGTTTGGTTTTATGTCTCATTTGATGCTGTGTTTCCTTTCCCGTTAGCAGCATCTGTAGCGTGAGGTTCCTGCCAAGAAAGCAGAAATTCCCCACAGAGAATTTGAGTACAGCCATACTGATGCACATCCAGGTTCTGCCTCCCAACAGCTGCCATTAAACTCAGCAAAAGTGAGAATGGGGCAAGAATCTGTGATAATTCCTTTAATGCTCTCCCAATCTCCAGCCTTTTTCAGCTCTCCTTGAGATTTTTACATTTGGTAACCACCAGTGCAGGTCTTTTCCAAGTAGTTCACCACTCTGTCCTTGAACTTCCTACATCTGCAGGATCCTCTGGTACCCCCAGAAGGGTTTGCAGCCTTAGGGTGTTTTTTAATGACCCACTTTCAGTGGCCTCCTGTAAAGCCCTGGGAGAGCAGCACTGTGAGCTGAAACTTGCCACTGCCACAGCTGTGCAAATGGAGCAAGGTGAATTTAAGGTCTGTTTTATACTAAGTACTTAATAAATAATGAAAAAAAAAAAAATTAATAACACTTACTTAATTCCAAATGTTTTCCTAGCAAGTTCCTGTCAGCATTTCAATAAGTAGAGCACTTCAGGATGTAACTACAGCCTGAGACTGATCTTGGGGCACCTCAGCATTTGTCTGCAAAGTTAAAATTTAACCACATAAATTTATTTTCTCACATTTTAGAGGGCTGGGCTAAAGGAAGGCTGCCCTCAGTTTCTACACCCACCTCCCCTCAGTTCCTTGCCCATCTCCCCATAGCCCCAGCCCCTCACTCATCTCCCTATAGCTCCAGTTCAGGTCCTTGTCCAACTCCCCTCAGCCAAAACCATAGGGATCCTCAGCCCCAGCTCAGCCCCTTGGCCAGTGTCCATCTCCCCTCACCACTGACCCTCGCTCTGTGTCCATCTCCCCTCACCACTGACCCTCAGTCCCCGTGTTCATCTCCCCACACCACTGACCCTCAGTCCCTGTGTCCATCTCCCCTCACCACTGACCCTCGCTGTGTCCATCGCCCCTCACCACTGACCCTCACTCTGTGTCCATCTCCCCTCACCACTGACCCTCAGTCCCTGTGTCCATCTCCCCTCACCACTGACCCTCGCTGTGTCCATCGCCCCTCACCACTGACCCTCGCTCCGTGTCCACCTCCCCTCACCACTGATCCACGCACGCTCCGTGTGTCCATCTCCCCTCAGTCCCTTTGTCCATTTCCCCTCAGGCTGTGGAGAACAAAACCCGCCCCAACTCGACGCCTGATTGGCCGAGCGCGCTCACGTGACACAGCCAGCCAATGACATTCCAGAGTTCCGCCTGAGGGGCCGCAATGGCGGCCGTGCCCTCGCTGCCGTCGGGGCTCTGCATGAGGCGAAACCAACCCCAAGCTGTCAAAAATCACATTTATTTTGTACCATTAAACTATCATCTTGCAATTTTCACTGATACCAAAGAGGCTGCTCGCCTTAGCGGGGAACAGAGCACAAGTGTAATTCATTTGTGTCTGAATTGACCGGTCAACATCACTCACAAAGCCATGAATTGTTTCAGTCCAAGTTTTATTTCAGCATTGAGGCTTGCTTAAAAACGAGAGAGGTTTTTGCTTAAAAAATGAGAAAGGTTTTAGCCCTCAGTCTTTACAGCATGGAAATAAAACCTGAACTATTTAAGATGATTTTACAAGATGAGACACTACCATGAGGCACTTGGAGCATTTATGGGAACAGAGCACGCCAGGCCTATACACCTCACATTTAAATTAAATTACAACAGCATGTAATGCACATTTGCCATCCTGTGATTCAAAATAAAAACATACTTTTGATTATTTTTGATTCATTTTGATTCAGTCTAGTCCATAATCCTTTGACATTTCAGGATTGTCTGTATTGTTCTTTTTAAAAGGCAATTAGGCTGATCCAAACCATGCTTTTTAAAAAAGACTCGGTTTTGACAAAATACAATTGGGAGTGAACCCAGGGAGAACTTGGGACATCCCTTTCCATTCCCTTCTATCACAGTAGCAAAGCTGCCAACTTTTTAGAGTTATCATAGGTGATAAAAGGATTTCATGTACACAATCACATGTTTTAGGATTTCACGTGGCAATTTATTTACAGCAATTCAGCACCACCTGCTGGCATGACTTCTTTTTAAAGCAGCTTAAAAGATGTGGTGGTTTGTTTGTTTAATTGGCATCATTTTTTAGGTGGCTAATTTTAAACCCTCAGTTTTTTTTCCCGCATTACATCTGAGCCACTGCAGCTATTTTGGATTTATGAAATATGGAGGAGGGATGTCAGCTCAGAATTAGAACATGAAATATGCAAATGAAATCAATCTAGATGAACATTATCTCCTGCCACGCTGCAAAAAGGGAGTATTTTAGTTATCAGCTCCACCAATTTCTGTATTTTATACAGCCCCCAGCACATGTACCAGCCTGAAAAGCTGACTGCCAGCATTCCTGGGAGACTTCCAACCTGTACAAACCTCTCCTTCTCCATACCCCCCAAACCTGAATTAATTAATATTTTCTGTCTCAGTGAAAAGTCTGACATTCCCTGCAATTAACTCCCTTCAATTTCTGATTTTAACTGGTTAATTCCTTAGTTTTTTTCACAGGGATTAGAGTTTTAGGGGGTTTTGCCAGATGATGACCAATAGCCACTCAACCACACCGTTCTTGCTTTAAATATCAATGATGACAAAGACTTCTGGCTTTTCATCTTCACAGATCTGCATTGCTGAATAAGTTATGGCTTTGACCTCTGTGCCCTAGAAAAGAGATAAAAAAAACATAGATTTTCTAAATTTTATCCCTTTTACCAGTTCACAATCCCCAGTTCTCATCACTTGCCTCAAATGCTATCCATTTTTTTCCCACAAAAAGCTGTAGCTATGTTAGTTCTGATGAATAAGGAAGTTATATTAATGGCCAGGTCAAATAGTGAAAAGGGAACTCTGCCCTTATTTTATTGCCTCTTAAGACAACAAATTCCTTCTCTTACCTCTGATAGACCATCAACATTTGCTATGCTAAAAGTGACACAGAGCAAGACAACAGATTTTGCTTTTAACAATTCTTTAGGGGAAAAAAAAAGCAAAAAAAAAAGCAAAAAATTGACTAAGCAGAAATCTGTACTGATAGGGTGAAACCCAAACACACAAATTCTGAATATGGATTGATTTTCTGTGTTATCAACATCATAAAAAGGAAGCCAGTTGAGTTAATTTGTTGAGTTTTGCTAGTGCTGAGGAGATGTCATTCTCAGGCCATCAGTTTTGGGGACACATTCACAAAACCATGCAGGAAGTGAGATCTTGAGCTCGGTGGTACTTCAGCCACGTTTATATTTTGATCTCTGCAGAACTCAAAGGTCTGATTTAAAGGACACCACACCTCCTCCCCCTAAAATGGAAAAGAGGAACCACTGCTTACCTGTGGGTGTTTGTCTAAAGAGAACTCTTCTCCCCACCTGTAAAGGCAAAAAAAATAGAAGAGAGGTGTTGTAATTTTGGTAATCTTTACCAAATGCTGTGATTAGTTTTGGTGATGAGCACAGAACACTGAGATTTTCATTTAAATTTTCAAAGGAAGCAAGAAAAGCCCACAATCCATTTTCAGACAATGGTTTAAGCTCACCCAATTGATCTTATTTTGAACTGCCTTCGGTCAATGTGAAGCACTTTCACTTCCTGCAGAGAGAGTGGGAAGAGAAATGTGTCAGTCACACCTTCTACCTTCAGGCAGAAATTCCCAGTAAATCCCACTTACAAAGGTTATTTCCCGCTGTTTCAACACCTTCCACCAGCCCAGCTTGCCCCAAAAGCCC